ATGGGTCTGGAAATTTGGCAGCAGGGGTGTGGTGCCACTGTTTACCCACCTACAAATTTTTGGAGCCATGGGGAGCCCTGCGGGCCAGATGACATAGCACCAGAGGCAAGATCTGGTCTACAAGCTGGAGTTGAGCACCCCTGGTTTAGTACTATGATATAATCATTAGTATTGCTTTTGCTTTTGTCCTTTCAATGGACGCAAGAACATCTCTATACTCTGAGGCTAGGTACAGACATTCAAAAATCCCAAGGCGGAATCAATAAACTTGCGTGATTTTCTGTAAGCAGAGTAGTTTAGATTGGTCGTGAACAAAACACACTTTCGCCTTTTGTGAGGGGAAGGGGCAGTGGGGGGAGGGACAAATCTTATACTGGGTTCTGCCATTTGTAAACCAGTCTATGTGTGCCGATTTTCTGTTCTGTTACAGGTATAGACTGATGTCCAATCATTTATACCAGTAGGAGTAGGGACAGATATTACACAAACTGATTTAAGTGATCAGAAACTGGTTGAAACTTGTAACAGAACAGACATTCAGTTCACATAAACCAGTTTCACAATGGCCGAAACCAGTTTGAGAGACCTGGTTGAATGTAGTATCAGACTTGACTGATTTGGCTCAAACCAGTTTATGCAATGTCTGTCCTAGACCCGTTCCTAATTTAACTTAAACCAGAGTCCCCCAGCATCCCAGCAGGCTCTCTGGGCTGGGCGCTCTGCTCCATCCCAGCAGGGCTGGCCCTGCCCCTCTGCTCCCCAGCCAGAGCAGGGATAGGGACAGGGCAGGGGTGGGGGTCTGGCCATAGAGGGATTTAATTCCTGCCTCCCTACCCCGAGCCGGATCTGCTGGGCACTCCCTCCTCACTTCTGCAGCAATGGGCAACAATGGCCCCTGAGGCAGAGAGGGCAGGGAGGGGGGTTATTTTCCCCTATACCACCACTGCCCCAGGGGACTGCAACCAGGTCTGCCCACCACTGTGCTTCCTCCGTGCTTGTAGCAAGCAGCAGAATAAACCCCCTCCTGTCTCCTCTACTGGATGCCGGAGGGAATAACCCCCATCCCTGCCCTAGTCATAGTGCTTAGAGTCAGAAGGGACCTAAATAGATCATCAGGTCCAATTCCCTGTCCCATGCAGGAATGGGTACTGGGGTCATATCACCCCAGCCAAATATCTGTCCAGCCTCCTCTTGAAGACCCCCAAGGTAAGAGAGAGTACCACCTCACTTGGGAGCCCATTCCATAGCCTGGCAGCCCTAACTGTAAAAGCAATGTCTCCTGATATTAAGCCTGAACCTTCTCTCTAAAAATCCAAGGGGCCAAGCCTGCAATGGCAAGGGGGCAGGGCCCATGATAGGGGCAGCAGCCCCCATCATAGTGTTGGGGAGCGTGAGCCCCTTGCTGGTGAGTGGTCCCACTACAGGACAGGCCGAGCTGTGGTGGACTGTGTGCAGTAGCACTGGAGCCCGGAGCAGGTCAGAGCCCTCCAAGCCATGCCCCTGCCCCCCTCAGAGCCATGGTCCATAGCAGCTTTCCCCACCTCACAGCGTGGCTCCCCCCCATGCTGGGAAGGAGCTCATGTTCCAGGAAAACGTGACAGGAGATGCTGCCCCTGTCACTGTTGCTCCCCTGCTTGCTGCTCCAGTGGCTCCAGTGGCTGGGGGGGGCAGGGCCAGGGCCAGACACCACCAGCAGGCCCCCTTGGGTTATTCTCTCCTATGCCCCCACAGCAATGCAGCAGGGTCTGCCTGTGACAGCCACTGCCATTGCTCCTTCTGTGCTCAGGGCAAGCAGTGGAATAATCCCTCTCCAGCCCCCTTCCTTTTGGCATCCAGAGGAGGGAGCTTATTTTGCCACTTGCCCCAAGCACAGAGTGAGCAGTGGCAGGAGCTGTGGCAGGCAGAACCCACTACAGTGCCCCAAGGGGCAGAGGAGGAAATAACCACATTCCCTGCTCCCCCAAGGGGCCCTGCTGACAACATCTTGCCCCACCCCCACAGACCCACTGGAGTGGCAACAGGGGAATGACCGTAATGGGGGCAGCAGCCCCTGTCACAGTTTCCCAGAGCATAAGCCCCTTTCTAGCAGGGGGGCCACACTGTGGGGTGGGGAAAGCTGCTACAGACCACAGTGCTGGGTGGGGCTTGGAGGGCTCTGATCCCTCTGGACCCTGGTGCCACAGCTGAGCCCCCCCACCCAGAAGGGGCTCATGCTCCCTGACAGTATGACAGGGGCTGCTGTCCCCATCAAGGGCCCTGTCCCCTCACCACTGTAGCAGCCAGGCAGGGGCATGAACAGATGCCAGCCAGCAGGGCCCCTGGGGCGAGACAAGGACAGGGGGTTGTTCCCCCTCCCTCCGGTATTCAGCAGAGGGGACAGAAGGGGGCTTATTTCGCTGTTTGCCCCAAGTAGAGAGTGAGCGCAGTAGTAGCATTGGGCAGATCTGGCTGTGGTTCCCCAGGGCAGTAGGGGAAGATGGGAGAATAACCCCTCTCACTGCCCTCTCTGCCCCCACTGCAGCAGCAAGGTTGGAACGCCTGGCAGACCCAGCTCTATTATTAGTATCAGTAGAACAGAGCCCAGCCATAGCTCAAGACATCACACAGCCCCAAGAATCATCCAAAATGGTTTATTCTTACTGCTAGTTTATTCAGACAGTTTCTCAGTGATGAATTTTCACATGTCCCACTTCTGGGGTACAATGTGATGTTTACATTTTGGTGTGTATTGGCCAGTGTTCTCCTGTTCTAGGTCACACAGGAGGTTAGACCTGCTCATTAGGGCTGTACAAAGCTTCAATCCCTGATTTGATTCGGCAGAGATTCGGCCCATTTCGGTGGCTGAATCTCCAAATCCGAATCAAATCAGGAGACCCTTTAATCTCTCCGAATTGAATCGGAACCCTCCAAATCGATTTGGAGAGATTCAGAAAGATTCAATGATTCAGCCATAGACACAGCTTTAAATGTTTTTTCTACATACCTCAAGGTATGATTCGGCTTAATCCGAATTTGAAGATTTGATGCCGATTCAGAGAATCAGTGATTTGGCCATTGACACAGCTTTAAATGTTTTTTCTACACACCTCGAGGTACAGGCACCATTCATGAATGCTGTGATGCTTGGGTGGATGGAGCATCCCATAGGAGTGCAGGGGGCTCCCCAGCGTGCTTGGCAACAGACCTGGAAGTGGACCAGAAGCACTTCCAGTCCACTTCCAGGTCACACGGGGGGGGGGGCCCATACACCCTGGCTTGACAACTGGTGCCTCCTGGGTCTGGGGGGGCACCCAGGATCCCCCCCAAGTCTGATTGCCAAACCGAGGAGAAGGGGGTGACCCCCAGCACTCTCCCTGGTGGACTCAGAAGTGGACCAGAAGTACTTCCAGTCCATTTCCGGGTTTGCCACCAAGCATTGGGGGGGGGGGGGGGGGGGGGGGGGGCTCCGGGCGCCGGGGGGGGGGGGGGCCTGCTTTCCTTTGTGCCGCTCCTTCCACCCCAGCATCACAGCATTCACAAGTGGTGCCTGGTACCTCGAGGTGTGTAGAAAAAACATTTAAAGCTGTGTCAATGGCTGAATCACTGATTCTCTGAATCAGCATTGAATCTTCAAATTCAGATCCAGCCAAATCGAATTGGGGACAGTGATCCAAATCAATGAATCAAATCACTGTCCCTGATTAGGGCTGAATCCGAATCTGAATTGAATAGGGCCTGCTTTGCACACCCCTACTGCTCATGTGTCTCCTGATTGTGAAACTTTGGAAAAGAAGGCATGAAATTAATACAACTTATGGACACTTATGCTACAGTGCTTAAGTTAAGTTACCTAGGAACATATCACTAAATAAATAGCTGCACACGGATTATTTTCATTTCCCAGCTCATATGGATCTTTTTGTATAAATGTCCTCACTTTCAACTCTTTTTGCTTAAAACAGACAGACATTGCTTTAATGTGACATACATGTTTCTACTTTATTTTCTTCAATTTGCCTGTCACGAAAATATTTTTATTTTACTTCAGAAAACAAAAGCCAAAAATATGCATTATTCAATATGTATCAAAAAAAGATTTTCACAAAGGAAAATTAGTTGCACTTTGGCATTTCATTGGAGGCAATGATCATTTCAACTTGTTTTTAATATGTAAATTGCTACCTAAGGACTTGACCTGCAAGTTCTCATTATATAATGTAAAGTTTTAAATACTGAATTTTTGTTATTGCCCAATCAAGGCATATGAAAAGTGTTAAAGTTACGTTGGTACTGACTAATACATCAAACTTTTAAATGCTTTTCACCCTCACACTAACAGAGATAGAAGGCTAACACTGCTTCCCCAGTGTAGTGTGTTTTACAAACACTGTATCTGTCCTTCCTGGACAGGGAGGGGGGATTAATTTCTATTGCTGCTTTGAGTTAATTTATTAAACAAAAATATAGTTTATGTAATCCACAAGAATGCTATATTATTCTTCTTTTCTATTCCCAGAGTCATAAGAAACATATTTGATACTTGACTACATAAAAGTAACATTACAATCTATACAAAATTAACCAAATTTACAGTGAGAACCAAAATTCCTAATGTAGAAATTATTGTTCCAATGTCTTCTAACCTCTCCAGTTTAATATCAAGTTACATTACTCCATGTTTTAGTTAAAAGAAATCAGATTTGCATCTGATATTTTTTATTAAAATCTCATAAGGATTTGACTGCCAAGGAAATTTTAATAATTCAGCCCAATTTTAACATGTTTAATGGTAACTTCCACAACAATTATGTAATATTATTTACACCCTTTTTAGGGCTAAAAATACACAGAAATACACCTGACTGGTGTGGTCTTTTGCTTTTTAAAGACTTCAAAGAGCAGAAAAAGTCATTCAAAAGAATTTAAAATGCTTTATAAAAACAGTGCACAGTCATTTATCATAGCATGTGAAAAAACAGTTACACTTGATTCAGAACATTTCAAAACTTGCACAAACTTACCAAAACAAAATGCTTTCTCCCAAGATGAGTGGTTTATAGTAAAGTTTATCTGAGATACAAAAGACTTAGGTTCCTGGGTCCATTTTGAATAAGGTTTAGTTTTCAATTGCATCTGAAAATGTTCTGTGCAGTTCAGAAATACAGGTTTCCTTTCTCCAGAAGGCATATTTGTGATCTCTAGCCTGTTTCATGTAGAAATGTTTTATGCCCCTGCTCTGACTAGGCCAACGGCTACTTGTTGCAATGGTAACAGGAAAAGCCAGGATCTGCCTTCTCAGTGTACAAGCATGAATAATTAATGTGTTTTCACCTCCCATCATTAGCATTCCACTCATGCAACACAAATGAAGCAATTCATTTCATCTTTTGTCTTCAAGAAACCTCAATGGATTCATGAGGGTTATCTGCAAAGATAAAACCTGGGCCTGCTGATTTTTTTAGTCTGATTGGTGAGAATTTGTCTCTCTAAATGCAGGTTTTACTATCAGCATATAAATTCTGTCTGTGCTTCCCAACCACTCTCTGGCAGACACCGTTACATTCAACTACAGCAACAATATCTGACTGCAGCACATGAATGTTTCATTTTCTTGACTTTAATATTTAAGCTGGTGTTCTTTGTTTCTAAGTGCCTTCTTCAACAAAGTTAAGAGCTGGTCTATGAGCATGCACAAGCATTATACTTCCATAATAACCTGTTGGACTGTTGAATGACTAACCTGTATTACAAAACCCTCCAGTTCTATACAGAATGTTATGGAAAAATATTTCAAAAAGAAAAGATCAACTTTGTGAATTTACTGAAAAAACACACACATGAATCATCTAAAGAGCAATATCATTTTTTTGAAGTAGAAATTTGGAATTTATTTCCATTTGACATTTGATTTTTCATTCAGGTTTTTCAGAATGAGTAAAAGATAAAAATGATATGTTTATTGATCATTTGGGTACCCAGGGATCTACAATTATTTTTAGTTTACCAAATGCTTGAAATATATTCCTTATAACTGTATAACTACAGTTATCCAATGTAGTTCATAATATAATTAATACCAGTAAACGTAATTTTTTGGTAAACAGCACTGTCAAACAGAACTGATTTCATTCTTGGAGGTCATAAGTTTGGTTGAGAAAAGTAACTTCATAGGTTTAATATTTCCACAAATCATTCTGATACAAAAAGGGCTATACAATATCCAAAAAGTGCACACTAAATGAATCATAAACTGGTAAACTAATGGGGATATTTCTAGTGGGGTCTGAAGGGGTCTCTGCTAAGCCCAGCATTATTAAACATTTTCTTCTAGTATCCTGTGGTAAATAGTGAGTACTTTCATGAAAACAAAAACACTTGGTTCAAAAGGGCTTTTTAATCTAGCAAAGAAGTAGCCTAACAAAATCTAATGGATGCATTGCCACATGCAGGGGCGTACATTTGTCATGGCACAAATAGCAGTGGCACACATGCTCCAGGGCATGCCAAATTGTTCTGGGTGAGGTAGGGGAGGCTGGGGCCAGCACTTGTGCAGCAGCCTTACCTGGGTCTTGGGGGCAGAGATGCCGATCTGGCCGCATGGATGGCTCTGGATGGCCACGCTCTGTGTCGTGGTGCACACTGCTGCCACATGTGCCCCATCATGTTTTTTTTGACACTATGATCTCCCAGTGCCAAATTTTGGCACTGTGTTGCAACTTTTAGCCGTGCTGCTAATTTGCATGTATACCACATGCAGTTTGTGGCACCTCTAACAGCTCTGAGGGACCAAAAACTGCATGTGCATGCTTGTCTGGATGCACTCAGTAGTTGTAAGCTGAAGCCAGACAAATTCACATTAGAAATAAGGCACATCTTTTTTAAAAGTGAAGGCAATGAAGCTACCATATCTTGAGGCCTTCATATGAGGACCAGACACCTTTCAAGAACAAATGGTTTAGCTAAGTTTTTCTTTAATCACACACCCTTTTTTTGACTGGAATCAGTACAGGGTTAAGTGGGTATATAACTTGTGGCATACAGGAAGTCAGAGTAGATTTTAAATGTGTCCACTCTGGCCTTAAACTACTGACCTGATTTATTATTACATACAGTTTCTATGACCGTATCCGTGCATGCTGAAATCCTGGCTCTGACATTAATGGGAGTTTTACTTTAATGTCAATGGAGCTAGAATTTTCAGCCATAAAGTCTATAAAGCATTTTATTATGCATTTCCTGCATTTCTTCCATTACTGCTTTGGGATATCTCTCAAATATTTTTTCCTTTTTATCTCTTCCTCGTTCATGATCATATGTTTTTTTTATAGCACTCTGCTTCTTTTACTTCATAGGATAGAACTGCCCTGGGTATAAATCAGGATTGTGTAGTAAAGGGCTAAGGACAGAAATTACAGATAAACTGGTATAAATGATCAGAAACTGTTTCAAATCTGTAACACAACCAAAGTTCAGTGTACATAAACTGCTTTCAAAATGGCTGAAACTGCTTTAAGATAAACCTAGATGGATGTAGTATCAGATTTAACTGACTTAGATTAAACCAGTTTATTGGATTTCTTTCCCAGATGCCCTCCAGATTCAAGTTAACTCACAGTTCCCCAGCATTTGAGGATGCTTTGCACCTCCCCCAGCAAACCCCGCCTTCACAGGGTGGGTGGGCTAGCCATGGCTCAAACTGTCTGCTCCAGCTGAGCAGGGAGGCAGGCTCTAGTGCTCCCCAACTTTTGGCCTGGGTCACTGCAGGCATGTTGCTGCATTTCCAGAATCAAAAGTGAATGTGTGTTCATTTGCTTATTGGTTCAATCTATACAGTTTAGACTAACCTGTGAAGATTGAATAGATTCAGCCTGGGGCCTTTTGACTGTCTGTACTTAGCCAAGGAGAGCATTGCCTATAAGACCCACATCTTAGGTTCTGCAGCAGGTGAACCCTTGGCTGATAGGGACATCGGGAAAGCGTCGAACCTGGAAATAGCATTCACCTTCCTGAAGTCAATACACAATCATAAGGACCCATCGGGCTTGGTAACCGCTACGATGGGCTCCGCCAGAGGCTCTGCACCTCTTGGCTTACCCCCTGTTCCAGCATTCTGGCTAACTTGTTGCGAATGGCCTCATGCCTACAGTGGGGGATCCTTCTCCACTTCTCCCTGACAACTTGTCCCGGGGGCATAATTATGCAATGGGTTATTCCCCGGGCACACCCGGGGTTCTCACTAAAGACATGGTGGAACTCTTTTATGAGGGCCTTGACCTGACACTGTTGTGTCGGATCATGTTGGGGTCCCATTGGGACAACTAGGTCATTGGTCTCTAACCCTGTCCTTGGGCCAAGCTCTCAGCCAAACTCTCCTCTGGAGGAGAAGGAACAATCAATAGACCTTCCTGCTTCCTCCATTCTTTAAGTAGGTTAACATGGTAAATTTGTTTCTCCCTATGTGACCCTGGCTTAAGAACCTCATAGTCTACAGGACCCATTTGCTGAATTATCAAAAAAGGGTCCCTGCCAACACTTCATAAGTTTATTCTTGGTGTTGGGAAGTAATACCAAAACCTTTTGACCTACCTGGAGGCCCCTTTCCTGGGTTTTTCTATCATATGAAGCCTTCTGTGATTGTTGGGCTGTTCTCAGGCATTCATGAGCCAATTCTCCCGCCCTCCGTAGACATCATTGCAGATTCTGCATGTACCCAGAGGAGTTTAATTCTCCCTCCTGCTTAGCCTCCCATTCTTCTTTGACTAGATCTAGCAAGCTCCTAGGTCTAGCATATCAATGTTATCAATCATGTTAGCATAATGTGAAAGAAAAGCCCTCTTAATGCTTCTTAATGTATGCCATAACTTCAAAAAAATAGGTGTGACTTTTACAACAGAGTTACTTTGTAAATGGGGAATCCTAATGGATGCAAGGCACAGCATTTACCAGGACATAGCTGGTTGAAGACAGCCACCAGTAGGGACAGAGTTGATTTCAACCAGCTTTATCCTGGTAAATACTACCTGTGCCTTCCCTACTAGGATTCTTCATTTACATTACATAGGTATCCCCACACCTATTTTTTGCAGTTAAGAAGTAGCTTCAGAGAAAAGCTATGAAGTCTGTGAAGTCTTGCCAGATAATAATATATGCTATGCACTAATCTATCATCAGAATCAGCAAATACAACATTCTGCACTAGGTCAGACGGGGCACACCCTAACGATGACTGGGGGGCCTCCCGCACTGTAAATAAGAACGGAGGGATCATCAGGTCCCACCAGCGGTGTTCTACCTGCACACACCGCCTCAACATATTTTTCAGGGTTTGATTAAATCTTTCTACCACCCCATTAGCCTGTGGGTGGTAGACCAGTGTGCGGAGGTGTTTAATCTGCAGTGTCTTGCACAGACCGTGCATGACGTTCGACATCAAGTTTGACCCCTGATCAGCTATTTCCTTTGGGATGCCCACCTGGGCGATCCACTGCATCAGCTCCGCTGCCACCTAGGGCCCTGTGACCAACCGCATCAGAACCGCTTTGGGCAACCTAGTTGCATAGTCCACAATAACCAGCAGAAATTGGTGGTCAGATGAACTCTTACAGAGGGGACCCATGACGTCCAATGCGATACAGAAAAAGGGGACCTCGATTATTGGCATGGGCTGTAACTGAGCTCATGCTGGCCGGTTCCCGCTTACCATTTGGCATGATGGATATGCACAGCAAAACTTTTCAACCTGGTCGTACAGCCCAGCCCAGCCCAGAAGCACAACCTCGTTAATCTAGCTTCTGTCTTCTGGTGCCCCATGCGTCCCCCCAGAGGGTTCCCATGTACTAGGTTCAAGAAGGAAGGCCTAAACTGGGTGGGAAACAGCAGTTGAGCAATCTCTGGCTCTCTTGAAGGGCTTTGCTTTACCTGATACAATAAACCATTCCTAACCTCAAAAATCAGGGTTTGCATGCGTAGCGAGCCGGGTCCACCACTTCATCCTCCACCTTTGCCAGCTCCATTTCCAGTATGGCTTGGAATTCCCACTCTTCTTCCTGGGCCTTTCAGAAAGCTCGACTGCTTGTCAGCTGCTTGAGGTCAAGGTCCCCAGTGTCTTCTCCAGCCAGGCTGACCTCCCCTGTGCTGACGTTCTTTGCTACGCCAAACACCTCATAGAATCATAGAAGGAAGGAGAACTGGGCTCAAGTGACCC